TAAGTATCTACAAATACGCCTATAAGAGGTCATTGTTTCCCATATGCTTAATTGGAATTTCTCTTGCAGTGCTGAAACAGTATGACCAAAACAACTTTGAGAGAAAAAGGGTTTATTTCGCTTTTTCTTTTCCTCCTCCTCTTCCTTGTCCTCCTCGTTTTTGAAGGCAAGGTTTCTCTGTGTAGCTTTGGAGCCTGTCCTAGAATTCGCTCTGTAGACCAGGCTGGCCTCAAACTCACAGAGATCTGCCTGCCTCTTCCTTCCGAATGCTAGGATTAAAGGCATGCACCACCACTGCCTGGCCTATTTCACTTTTTCTTGCAACAATTTATCATCAAAAGCAGTCATAGTAGGAACCGGGAGACTGATGCAGAAGCCATGAAGGAGTTTTTACTTACTGGCTCGTTCATCATGCCTTACTCAGTCTCCTTTCTTATAAAATCCAGGACTACCAGCCTAGGGGTGGCACCACCCACAATGGGATGGGCTGTCCTTCATCCATCACGAATTAAGAACATACTGTATAGGTTTGCTTAGAACCAGATCTTTTGGAGGCATTTTCTCAGTTGAAGTTCCCTCCTCTTAGATTGTGTCAAGTTGACATAAAACTAACAAACACAATATCTAGGTACAAGGTAATGTCAAAGTAGCTAAATTTGTGAGTTATTTACTGAAGTAAAGGCTCTGGCATTTCTGGCGTTCTCAAGATCTAACTGCTGTCTGTCTTGGGACTCAAAATGTGAAAGTCAAGCACTGTTTAGTTGTTTGAGGCTTAGAGATATCATGTCCCACATTTCAAGCTTACCTTATTTTACTGATACGAGTTGTGAATCAGCCCACTTTAAATGGGGGCCCTGTCTAAGCAAATAATATGAAAACCATCTAAACTGAAACCAGTGAGCATCTTCAGAGAGTCTGTCACTGTAATAGCATTCATAGCTTCCTTGAGGACTCACTGGAATATGTCAGAACTTGGCCATGGATTTCTGATACAAAACAGGGCCTTGCAAAGCCAAGTGCTGCACATTCTTGCAGGACACCAATTGCTAACCTACTGGATGTCCCTGGAGGGAGGTTTTACAGATCACAAGTCTGAAACCTTTTGTACCGACTTGCATGGGATATTTATGAACAATTAATTTGATGGAATACAAATCCAGTCATTTTCCTCAATGGTCAGGTATTAAAAATTGACTTATTCAGAGTATCAAACTGTAGGTAAGTATGGAGGAAAGACACAAGCCACAAACAGTTAAATATGTAAAGTAGAGGAAGGTTGAAATGTTAGCTAAGGTAGTTCACCCTGACAAGACAAACACTCAAGAATTCAGAAAGGCTAAAGTACAGGGCATAAAGTAAAGTGGAAATGCAATGTGTGATTAGCAGACCTCAGGAGAAAGTACAGGGTGTGGAATAGGAGCAGATAATGGAGACAGAGAGAGTAAACAGAAACCCCAAGCACCATAACATAAAATGTAATCATTGCCGTCTGAGAGTGTTCATATACTTCAGGGTTTGATAGGGTTTCAATGTGTCACCAAATATTATGTGCTACAAATACATTCATCAGTGCAATCAGGTGGGGCTGTAGGTCTTCAATGGGAGTGTTTGCTGATACTATAAAGGCACTGCCTTCACAAATGGATGATTAACAACTAAAGTGTTGTGAGTCACCTGCCCCCCATTACAGGTTCTCAACCATGGATCAAACAACCTTCTCACAGGGGATCCATATCAGACATCCTGAATATCACATGTTTACATTATGATTCATAGCAGTAGCAACGTTGCAGTTATGAAGTAGCAAAGAAAATAATTTTATGCTTGGGGGTCACCACAACTTGAGGAGCTTCATTAAAGGGTCACAGCACTAACAGGGTTGAGAACTCTTGTTCTAGATGCCACCCAGAAAGATGTTTTGCCAGATGCTGGCACATTGAAACTGGATCTCAAAGTTTCCAAAACTATGAGAAATACAATTTCTTTCTTATAAATAACCCAGGGTATGGTATGGTATGATAGTAACACAAAGAGGACTAAGACTAGAAAATTGCGGAGGATGAATCAAGGTTCATTAAGTTTTTACCTGACAAATCTGAAGTCACTAAAAGTCAAAACAGCCATGGGCCACCACAGTACTTGCTTACCCCCCAAATGCCCATAGCAAAAACCTGAAATGGTAACATCAGCATACAAGTTTCATTAAAAAATAAATAAAAATAAAATTACTGGTCTATGAGCTGGAAGAATTTCAGTTCTAGAAGGAGAAACATTTGTCAGAGATCATGTAATTGAAAATCCTGTAAGTAAACTTTGGGTTTACAGCAAATTTTGAATCTTGGCGCCATTTATTGCTTCTGTATCAGTCTACTCCTTACTTATCTATAAAGCAGCACAATATACCCATCTTTTAAAACTATGGTAACAATATGACAATAAATTCAAGGTATTCCCATGTCACTGAGCTCATAGTAGCCTCCTGTGTTGAAATTGAGTGGCAGTTTTGCTCCTAGCAAATATATTGTGGTTTTCTTACTACATCAGCTTACAGTATTATATTATGATTTTGATTTGGCTCCTGTAATGAATTATCACACACTTAGTGGATTAGAGCAATTCAAATTTATTCTTAGTTCTGAAGGTCAGTTTCACCAGGGTCAAGTCAAGGTGCTATCAGGAGTGGTTTCTAGAAGATCTAGAAAGGAACATGTTTTCTGTAATACTAACCTGACGGACAAGATGTGCCCACGGGTGCAATAGTGAGATGACTGTTATGGAGGTAACGAACCACTTCCTGATTAGGCTCTTGGGTCTATGCTACAGGAGGAATTCATGCCCGGTAATATGTAAACTTAGTCTAAAGCCTATGATTGGGGAAGTCACAGGCTGTAAGAGGCAATCTACTCCTGTTGTTTTGTTATATGGATATGATGTCAAACTTCCTCCTAAATATTTGTATATATATTCATAGATTTGTGCTGCTCTCAGCTTTGATCAGAGAAGCTTTTGTTTGAGGTGGGTGATGGTTCATACAGAGACTAGTGAATCAGTGACAGTTGAGTGCTTAGCCTGAAAGGTGACATCTATATCTTTCCCTCCCAGGCTCAAGGAATATTATGGAAGAAGGTGTAGAAAGGATATAAGAGCTGTGGCATACTGTATTCTGGACCCAACATGGCAGTTACACCTGTGAACTCACAGTAGCACAGTGACTATCTGAATAAGACAAGGCCCATCAGTGTTCCATCATGGATGAGAGAGGGGTTCACAAGGTCTCTCTTCCTAAGGACCAGCAAACAGTTAATATTTTGGGGGGGAGTCACATTCCTCACTGGTAGCAGATAATTTGCCCTTGTTCCAGTAAATATCCCCCATCCATGCTCTAACCCTTTTTATTGAAAGGTTGACTTTCATCATTTACTGAGGTAGTAGGATTCCCTTTCAGGATTCTGTTTTGTGGACTTTTAGTCTTATTGATAAAGGAATCTTCAAAATACACTGAGAAGAAAGCTCAAAGAACGTTTTGCTAGAATTTGAAAGAAAAACAACAAGATGAGTGAGCTGTAAATGCTAGCCACTGCTGGGAAGAGAGATGACAAAGAAAGGATATGCCACTCTTCTGAGTGAGCATCTGAGTGTTCGGTAGCTGCCTGGGCAAGGATCTTCTCACAGAAGCTGTGAGAAAGCCCAGAGTTCGCAAGCCAGCATTATTAGAGCTTTGCTTAGTATCCAAGTAGATAGAGAGGCCTCTTGAATGAGAACTCAAAAACAGACACTTAGAAGCAAAGATCTGTGAACAACTGAATGTGGACAGGGCTGATTCCAGGTACAGTATCTTATGGATGGGATGATTATTCCTCCTGTCTTCCTAGAATGTTGATGTTCCCTTTTCTAATGTTACTCAGGAAATGGGAGGTGGGTCAAAAGCTGACCAGAGGGAGGGGCCCATCTTAATGGCCTTCAAAGTGGTGAATGTTTATGAAGCTAACAGAACATCTTTGTAATTTAAAAATTTATTTTTCACAGCATCTAGTTGTTCTTTCCTCACAGAATAGAGTTCTTCTAATTCTTTACTGAGTAAAGAGCACAGCTTCTTGTCCCACAGTGGTAAAGATCATCCAAGTGCAAGACTTCCCTACTTTCTAGATTTTCCATTTTTAAAACGTTCCTAAAGTTACAGGGGATACTAAACAAATGCAAGGAGTCTGTAACCAGGCAGGCAAAGGCCTGGCTGAAGGGAGTTTAATACAGAAGCTTACAAACAGGCAGGCAAATGCCTGGTTGGAGAAAGATTAAAATAAAGGGAGCATAGGCCCACTACCTGACTATTGGAGATAAGAGAGAGAATGTGTGCAAAGTGTGATTAGCAAGATTTAGCAAACTATTTAAGGGACCAGCTCAGACCTGGGAACTTTAGCGTGTACCACGACTGTGGAGTTCTCCTCAGCTAACCTCAAACAACCAATCCATTACGCTGTGAGCCCCCCCTTGCAGACTCAATTGCCTAAATTCAGAGGGATAGGTACCCCCTTGCTATGAGTCTAGTGTCTATGGTTTTTAGGATTGTTTGCTTATGCTTGTTTGTGTTATTTTGACATAAGTGTGAAGTAAAACTTATATATTCAAAACTAACTAGCTGAGTCTGTCATTCCTCCCAGGTTAAAACCTGGTAAGAGCTCCAGACAGCAAAGGAGCTATCCAACCCAATTGCAGGAATCTACAAGTTAAGAGAGAGAGAGGAAGAGGAGGAGGGGAGGGAAGGAGGGAGGAAGGAAGAAAGAAAGAAAGAAAGAAAGAAAGAAATAAAGAAAGGAAGGCAGAAGGAAGAAATAGGAAAAAAAACATTAAGGCAGAAACAAAAATAAGTAGTCTGCATTTCAATTTGTTTAGTGTTGCTTATTGGTCAAAGAAGATCCCAAATAGGTTAACCACAGGCTTCAGTAGTATACTCATGCATTCTCAAATTCCTCCCTTCCCGCGCTTTAATGTCTTTAGCATACCTGTGGAAGCACCACACCTGGTGTTCTGCTTCTATGGCCTCTCCACTGTTGCCCTGCTTAGTCCTCAAAATTCTTTGTCACAATTCCCTCTGCACTTACCTCAAGAATCCCAAAGCCTCCCTTTCCCCTATCTTACAGTTCTGACTTTATAGAAGGATGCCAAAAGCTCCATTTCCCAAATCAGCTTCTCGGATTGGTGATGAATGAAAATCGAAACTTAAGGCTTCTGGAAGCAGAAGAGAAACCGAAACTATTCTTCAGCATAAAAGGAGGCCCGACTGGCTTAGCAGCTTCCAGTTTGAGGAGGCTGCAGATCCCAGGTCTCCCAGGCACTCGCCCTCTCCCTGGATCTATTCAGGGCTCGGTGTTCCCACAGAGCAGCCCTGCCTCTCTTTGCAAGCAGCAGGTCTGGTTCCGGGGCTTTTGGTCTTCCTTCGCTCTAGGGAGAACTGAAGGGGCGGGGTACGCTTCTGGGCCCGCCAGGGTTCTGGGGGGAGTGTCAAGGTCAGAGGTGTCCCGAAGAGGGGGGCTGCGGTGGGGCTGAGGGCACAGGACTAGGAGGGGGCTTCGGTGGGCAGTGGAGCACAGACCCACCTACCTAGAGCTGGGGGGACACAGAAGGAAGGGACATAGCTGGTGAGCAAGGGAGGAAGAAGACATCAGGGTCAGGCTCTTGCATGCTCTTCGTCTTAATGGGGATAACAGATAGGGATCAATAATGTGTGTACAGCCAATAAAAGTGCAGCGTTGGCATCAGCAGCTTTTTCCTAGGTGCAGAATCGGGGCCCTACTCTATACCTGCTGAGCTAGAAGCTGAATGTGAACAACAATCTTGATGAATTCTAGGCGCTCTTAAATTTCAGTGGCTTAGAAATTCATGTTTTACATAAGCGATCATGATCCTCTGGCATGCTTCCTTTTGGAGGCAGTCTCTGTTGTTCTTTTGTTTAAGCTGCAGCTGCTAATAAGGAAAGGAACAACGAATAATCAACCCACGTGGAGTTTATTTATCAGAGAGGGGGGAAAGGGGATGGGCAGTCAGCCAACCCTAGGGAAGCCGAGAGAAAAAGAAAGAGGGGTGTGGGGCAGGACCTTTTAAAGGGAAGATTGCATATGCGCAGTAGGGCAAAGGTCGAAAGGCATGGAGGGTGAGTGAGTACCCGCTTGTTAGGGGGCGGGGTTAGGGTCATCCAGGTGTTTTGTTCTTACAATCCCGGCTGTTGTTTATTATAAAAGTTAGAGAATTGGGCGTGGCAGGTTAGGGAAGTAGGGGCGAAGATGTCTTAAGGCTGCTTCCTGCTGGCCTGGGGCGTTGATCGTCTTTGGGGGGTTGGGGGTGCTGCCACGTCCTGGAGTTGATTGTTGTTTCATTGTAGTCCGGGCCACTCTGGTGCCTTTTAGTCCTGGCAAGATGTTTGGAGAGTAGAGGACAAGTTTAAGTTTAGAAAAAATTTTTTCTTAGGTCCTGTCATTTGACGGGAAGATTGTAAGATGAGGGAGGGGTTCCCGAGGAGTCCCAAGATGAGGGAAGGGAAATTGGGACTGGGGAAGGGTTGGATATTACCTGGAGTGAATCTGACCTGTTTGGATCTGATTCGGCTCCCT